AAAATCACGTGATTAATCACAAAATGACTTTAAATTTTCGGACTATTTTTGAGTATAGATGAAATGTACCATATCATTAAGAATTGTAGTCAAATCCTCATCATTTCTTGCAATTAATTCGTTACGAGTTGGGATGCCTATTAAGTAATTCTCGCTGAAATAATGAAGTATCTGACCAATTTTTTCTTTTTCAGCCTCTGGGTGAAAAAGGGCAAGGTGTCAGAGAATTTTGAAAGCTTAGATTAGATCATTTTTGAAAGACTTATAATTATACTAAAACTCAAGGTATAAAATTTGCAAGAAAAAAGTTTAAAATAAAATTAATTCTTGAGATTATTAATCAATATACATAAATAAGGCTAAAGAAAGAAAATACCAACTGGAGATTTTATTTCTATCCATATATTCTTAGAACTAGAGAAGTGTGTAATCGGAGATACTATCATTTAGATGTATACAAAGTTCATAGGGATTCTAGGCAAGTTCCTTGTAAACAACTTGGATGTATTAAAAAGACTAGAGGTGAATATGAATTTTGTGATTCACATGCAAAAAAACTTAGAGCGAAAAAATATTACCATCAGAAAAAGCTAACTGAGCTGGCTAAGCTGAATATATGTGGATTTTACAATTCATATGTAAAGAAATATAAGGCGAAAAAAGAGTACCATTGGAAAAAGCTAGCAGAGCTGACTAAGCTGATTGAAGAGATAATATAGAGGTAAACAGCCCTAGTTAGATCAATGTTCCTATTAAAATTCTTGGGAACACTATAGGAACACTCATAGGAATGTATTTGTATAACATCTTAGCAGTAGAAAGTATTTCAGATTAATTCTAGGAAGGGTGTTCCCAGTGTTGTCATGGGACATTAATGGGACACTGATAGAACATAGATGGGACAGATAGAACATTTGGGACATAGTATGGGACAGGTTGGGACATATAGCTAGGACAACAAATCTCTGGGACATTAAAAATGTACATCACTGGGTGTTCCTATGTTCCTATCAGTTCCTATGAAAAATCGAACTTCTTTACTTTATTTTTTTTTTATTACACACTATACATACACCATATATATACCATATATACACCATACATATACCATACGTATAGTATAGAAAAAAATTGAAATTTTTCCTAAAAGTTTTATTTTTCATAGAAACAGATAGGAACATAGGAACAGATATCAAATAAAGCAATCAATCGACTCAAGAAAGTGAAGGCAATATACAAATGTGTTTCTATAAGTGTTCCTATGAAATTTTTTTAGCTAGGTTGATAGAAACAAAAAATCTGTCTTATTTTGCACTCTAATATGCCTGAAAACATGTCAAAAACATGCCAGAAATACAATATGAACGTACTCTAATAATTCAAACTTTGGAACGCAAAATTGGATAATTATACCAGTAACAAATAGGCAATAGTTGAGTTGTAAAATAGTGTACTTCTGGTAATTAAAAGGGTTTAAGCTAAGATAATACATATTATACCTCTAACTTCAGAATGTGAAATCGGCATATACATACTGGCAACTAATAAGTAATAATTGGATTACGAAATGGTATACTTCTGGTAATCAAATAGGCTGGCTATAGAAATATATATCATACCTAACTAACAGAATTTGTTATATTATATGGCAGAGGGTGTTCAGTATCATAACAGGATTATGAGACTGATGCAGTAGGATGCAGTATAAATTCAGCCAACATTATTTCACAATTTCAGCTAAATCTTTAAGCATAATAATTTGGCATCTAAGCTGGCCTGAAACTGGCGAACTAATAGAAATACTCTGATTCCTGCTAGTTCTATAATAGTTTCAGGATATTATTAATTTACTATCATGGTACCAAACTGGATCCTCAAATTACATGTCTAAAAGATCAGCTAAAATTAATCGCAAATTTACGGTATCACCTGACACAATATTTTTTATCACATTTTAGGATTTAGAAAAGCAACCAAATAAGCGCAAAGTGAAAGCACTCCAACATAGAATCTAGCACTCAATCAGGCGCAGGAGGTCAGCATCCTCAACATAAAACCAGATATCTAAATAGCTACAGAAGGTTAACAACTCTATTATAGAATTTAGCATATAAATGACTCAGAAACAAGAAGAAAAATGTGGTATTTAGGTTATATAGTGGTAGTTAAGTTAAATGGTAGGTGTTAGTTAGATTATATAATGGTAAAAATACAGATAGTAAGAAAGATTTAAAAGAATAGGTAGAGTATAAAAAAGATACCTGATATGCGAAATAAATAGATTATATAGTGATAATTAGATTGTATTATTTAGATTATATGATGGTAAATAAATTATATTATTTAGATCATATGATGATACTCAGATTATATAGTGGTATTTAGATCATATAGTAGTATCTAGATTATATGGTGGTATTTAGATCATATAGTGGTATTCAAATTATATGACAGTAATATAATCTAGGGTAAGTTAAATATCGCCATATAATATTATTATATTATATGGTGATATTCTACTAATACTATATTTCATTTCAGATCTACAAACTCCAGAATTATTTGAGTAGATGTTAAGAGAACAAGAATTTCCGATGGCTTTGACGTATTTCACATGGAGATCATGGGTCCTCCATGTAATGCAACTGAGAAACATACTATAGGTGACGCAAAGAAAACCATGTGAACGGATATTCTAAATTTGATCACGGTATTACGAAATCACCTTGATTGTAGCATAAGTCTTGCAACAAAAATTAGGATGTATAGTATCCAATCTATCAGTGAGTAGAATGCGTTATTATGTTTGCGTTAGTGATTGCATTTAACTGATACTTTGATTCTATCTTTCAGATGCTCGATTAACTCTATATGTATTAAGTATGCTTTTCGATGACCGTTTTCTCGTAACTGAACTTGTCTCTGCCGTTATGCCTTTCAGCTTTAATGGTCGAGATCAATACAAACTCATCCTTAGAATGATAGCTATCTTTCACATATGTGCTTAAATTGGTTGCCTGGTATATTTCCAATATATCCACTCATATAGTGATATATTGGTATCTTTCTATAAGACGAAATCACAAAACAGGAGAAATTAATGAAAAATATTAATTGGTCTGTACTTCAGCCAAAGGAAACGACGGTCCGTCATGTATTAAAGATTCCTGAATTAGAATAATACTGAATTTCATTATATTTTTTTGTATCAAGTTATATCTGTTATATATTTTCAAATTTATTTTTCAAAGCATGTTACAGAAGTTAATTTATTAATACTATCACTTGATATTACAAGCTCTTTAATTCAAAGTATAATCTGCTATGACCTATAATGTATATCATGACTTTTTTACTTTACCCACTTATCCATGCCGGTTATCAAGGACAGTGGATGATGCCTGGAATTGCGAAGAGGAGATATCATGCCAGTCATCAACCCTATAAAAAATTTGCATACGTTTTTTCATTATTATAAATAAGTTTTGTATACGTTTTTTGAAATTCCGTATCAC